ACATAAGCTCACAATAATAATACTTTTCTTAGTATCGCCTTGGTTTTAAGTACAACCATGAACTGAAAACTTGTGGAGAGTACTAATTTCTTCCTTTGCCACCACACATGATACTCCATTTAAGGGGTCACATGGGTTTACAGGTTTCAAAAATGGAATTTTTTTATTACCTCAGTAAGTTTTACAACACCTCCAGAATATTGTCCTAAATTTTTAAGTTGATCCGAGGAATAGTTTCGAGATGCAGCCTAAACGCTTTTTTCGAWACCGTGTTTTTGAAGTCGTTTGGTGAGATTTCTTGAGCACTACTTAACCGATCTTCATTCTTAAAGAGATTTTATGAAAAATACTTGAAAAAAAGGGCGCATCTTTTTTCCGAAGGGTCACGGGAAATGGAGTCACAACGGCCGAGTTCAAAATTGTTTTTCAAAAACTGTAAAATTTCTTTGTTAATACTGTATTTTTGTAACAATAAGAAATAATAATAAGATATTTAATTTTTTATAAAAAATAAAAATCTGAAAAAAGTCTAATTGAGAAATGCAGCCCTGTCGAAAGTTTTTACATGACTGAAATGCCAGTCCACATGGATTCAAAGGTCTTTGCTACATTGTTGGCATATATCATAGATATGTATATGTTTACCAGCTTTTCGATAGTTCACAGAATAATTTATTTAAACAAATTTTAACAAAAGTAGATCCGGATTCAGATTGGCACATAGTGTTTCGAGTAGGCAATCAGATTTCATAAAGATGGGTAGGAAATATCCAAAAAAAAAAAAACGGATCTGAAAACCCGACGAAAACAATAACTTAATTTGGTCTCAAGCAAGAGTAGCGTGAAGAAAACGATTTTCAACTGTACAAAAAAACAAAGAAAATAAAAAAGCAAACTGCCATCCCCCTCCCGACAGCGAGTGCATTATACTTTTTACCTGGTGGCATGTCAACGCGCTTTCGATTGACATACAAACAAGCTCACTGCGAATGCACCCACAAGAAAAACAAAATGATCATGGACAGGCACAGGCAGCGTCAGGGGTAAGAGGCTTTTCGTAGCAGCCAAATTTATGGAACATTGACGGTAAGCGCCACTTGCATACAAGTGTTTGTATTGCAATATGTTTACAAGTTCATATGTTTATGCATATATATATGTATATATACATGCGAATAGATTTGTGAATGTAAATATATAGACATAGTTTTATGAAGGGGTAGTCACAGAAGTTTGCCTAGCAAGTATACTAGTAAAGGTTTTTTAAAATCCATAGTTTAATATTTAAACGAATTGTTTAGTGCTTTGGTCCTCCTAAAACATAAAAAGATCTAATAATTTTCGATCGAAAATGTAAGAGGTAGCAAAGCTCGAACGGGACAACTTACGTGTCTCATCTTATTTTGATATATTGATATACAAATTTTCCATCCATTCCTCTACATTGAATTCTCTCTCGAATTTTTATAAAGTGAAACATATTGCTCTCTTCGTTGATATTTTAGATTTACTAATTGGAGAAAAAGTGAATGTTACAAATGATGGAAGTAAAGTTATAAGACTCTTATAAGTTTAAAAATCAGTAAAAGTTAAGACAATTTAGCAAAATTACCATATATAACTAAACTCATGTTCTAAAAAAAAATTACCGAATTTTGATTTTGGTTTAAGTGGCGCTCTCAAGACCTCGACTAGTACTACATGGCCATTGAGCCAGACTCAATGGGAGTAATCGCTGGAGAAAACTTGACTCAAAAACGTAGGATATTCTTGGAAMTTTTCAAGACCTCACACAGAAAAGTGACGTCGCTTGCTTGAATGATGAAGTGCAATATAATACTGAACAAAAATAACAWGCCAGCTTGACAAGACTCACGCGTGATTTGACAGATCCATTGATAAAAGTACCTCTACATTGGAACACCCGTTAAATACATATTTTACCTTTTAGAATTTAAATGACATTTTTTGGAAGGGAGGAAGTTGGTCTCAAAGAATTTTCACAAGTAGGGATAGTTAGCATAAAAACCAAGGTTCTGAAAGAAGTTCTTAAAATAGTTATACCATATATAAAATTAGATATCTAAACTTGAATTTTTTTCTGCCAAATAGTAATATGAGAACAGCTTGCGTCCTTTAATTGTTGTTTCTATCGATTCCAACTTAGATAGCTAAACACCATTTTGAAGTAAACAAACATGTCAACATTTTTTGAATGAGCATCATTGCTGAGTTCAGTTCAGGCGAAGATTACGATATCTAAATACTTAGCTGAATTATATAGAAAAATATTTTCTTAAATWATCTTCATTCGGTATCTGCGAGTATCCGCTGATTATATGTATATAGCTAAGTTAATTGCAATTTCTTGTTGAAAACTTTAATTAATTTTTGTTAAAAGGTAACTAAGAGTTAGCCGAATTAGAAAATTTTAAACGAACTTTTATCAGCGCACCTCGTTTATAGAGCCCGGTCGCGCATGCGCATAAACGCATATAGTTACCTACAATGTATATTCGTATTATACACATACCACTTACAAGTAACAACTTGGATATGGCCAATAAATGCTACAACGCTGACTACAAAGTATAGTTGCGTTGCAATTGCAGCGTAAAGTAAGTAGCCCAAAAACGGCGCTACTATTTGACAAAGATCGCCAAGTGGCGATAAAGGCATTTAAGCTTAGCAGACAAGTTTTTTCGTASGCGAACACACATGCTTTGCGGGCTTGTTGGCTTCAACCAAATTACCGCAGTTTGCTGTGGCGCTCTCTGCATGTTGGCTTATAGTCAAGGCAGTGGGCGCCAATAACCGAAAGCAAGCAATTAATGCTTAAGTTGGCTACTTAACTGGCTGTTCGATGCTGATTTCTTACGCCAGTCACATAAGTAGTGGCGAATTGGCGCTGGCGTTAAGCAGCAGCCGTTTAAGGTAAATAGCGCCTTTAATTACATTATTACTTGATTTCATTTTCGTTTCTTCGGTATGCAGTTGGATTGGCTTTTGATTTGTTTGGAAGCTTGAAATTAATTTGTTAATGTATCAGGTTAATACCAAACTAACTAATTCATAAAAAGAATTGAGTACAGATCTGTTCGATAGTACGTATGATAAGTCATAAATCAAACCAAAGCTTAGATAATATAAATTAAAAGTAGTTAATTGTAAGGCTTAAATAAATTTGTGCTGAGAATGAGACAAAAGTAAACKAATTTCGTGCACCGTGATTAATGCTACAAATTACCTGTACCGGGCATGGCTTTCAGTTCCGAGAAACGATCTTAGCTTTTGAACTGGACTCACAGTAGGTTTAGCTCTTTTAGGATTTTGGTAGGACGCTGTGCGGCATTCTGCCACCTGAGTACTATGGAGTAATGCCCAATAGAAGCGGACGAGCTAATGTCGTACTTGCCTCCGTTCTCTCAAAACTTTGGCAGGCCCCAGAGTACGTTAACCCTCCCCTGCTATGGTTATTTCCTTGCGCTGGTTGTCTTTGAACCCATAGGCTCATAGGAACATGCGTTAGCCTCCGCCTTGGCCTTGTTACTGAGCCAACCTTGCAATCATTAAAGGCGGATACCTTTTCGGCAGCCGAATAGGCGCTGCGGTTTGGATGCAATCAGCATGAACAAACAAATAAAACACCAAAACAGAATAAAGGATGATAGAAAGGAGACAATGTAAAGTGAAGAGAAGTCGAAACTGGCAATTTTGTCCTAGATCGGAGTTCTGCTTTTGGGATGACGAAACCGTCGCAAAATTWAAGTAGTTACTCCGTTTATATGATAGTCGGGTCTACGTAACCGGAAGGGACCCGGATTTTTATCCGGCTAAGGACTGACAATTCGGCACCATTTCTCGAAATTACGTCAGGAATGTTTTCTGCCCCTGTAACAGCAACAACAAAGGTAGTGAACGAACCTCTGCCTAAGTCGTACTTAAGCCCTTCGAGGAACAAAAGGTGAAGTCGCCAGAAATTTGGCGGCAAGCGTCTCAAGAGGGGCAGAGATAAAGTAACACCGCCAGGTTGAARCTATGAATAAAATGAATCTTCCACTACGCCCTAGATCTYGCATTTGGCTGCCGGCAGTACCTTCTTCAGCAAGCGAGATGGAGCTGTTAATTGGATATTACAACTTCTCACCACTTAGATATGGCCGGAGATTGACAAGGCTAGAGATGACCAAGGAGCCAAATCAGCAAGCGCCGATATTGCTAAATGCGGAACTTATTGGTCCACTCAGCGAAACCAARGTCGCTCTTGGTTCAAGACGGTGGCTTTCAGGATCCTACCAACGTTTACCAAAGCTGATGCTGCGAATAGGTCAGGCGTAGGTAGTAAAATGTACATTAATAACGACCCGGTCTTATTAGACATAGCGAGTTGGGTGGGCGGTTCGTGGATTGACGAATGGTCGAACTCCTCGTGGGCGTTGAATTAGCGCTCGTGGAGGGTAATAGGATAGATTAAAATTTTCCGATTAACATCTGGAACAAGCCGGTTTCGACTCTCTTGGTTCAGACGTATCCTCGAAAAGAACTGTGACTATTAATATGTCAAAAGACACTGCCACGTATATTATCGTGTCTAAAGGTTGAAAAGTTACCGTTGGAGAGCGTTCAAMAAAGTCTTACTGAAAGAAGCTCTAATAGATAGCCAAACAGCAGTTGAAGAAAATCATATAACACTATAGTTTTGTCTTCATCAGTTTGTACACTTTCCGTACCTCATTCATTAAACTCGTATTTGAGTGTTACTAACTACATTGAATACTCAGACTATGATATAGTTTCTTAGCTTACACTGAAACTACAAGGTCAGTAATTAATCGATTTATTTTAACTCGGATAACAAGTAAATATTAACAATTATTAAATATAATCACAAGAAAAAATTATTTAGTTAACAATTTCTATAGCACTACGTTTAGGTTTCACAAAATATATATTTTTACATTTGCTCATCAAGCAGCAATTGCATTTAGATGCCTTAGATGTTCCGCCAATCGTCGCGCCTAAAGCAATCGGTATTTGACAGCCCTCAACATGGGGAACTTGTCGCCGGTGCATTGACCATGGAAATCATCCAAAGTGATATCGAACAGCGCCACACCGCCCAAATTCTTGGCCTTCACATAACCCGCCTTGCTGGCAGCCGTGTCGGGATCTTCATAACTTACCCATACACCGTTAGCGCCATCCTCATCGGCGGTGTGGAAAGCATAAGTGCCATAACGCTTAGTGGGATCGCTAATACGGCGTAGWGGGGCATCAGCACYTTTCGCATTGATGTTGGATGGATTTGGTAGGCGTTGACATACTTCCAGCCAGTTGAAGAGACCTGGTGTTTTAGTTATGGGTCCGGCAGGTGCTGCACCCTCTGTTGCTGGTACTACCGGCAAACCAGTGTTACCGGAATCCTTAGTCATCTTCCAAGCGCGTCCAAAAGTGGGAATACCCACGTTGATCTTGCCGGCGGGCACACGTTGYAACAGCCAATTCTCCACTTGGAAGTTAACATTATAATGAGACAGACGATTTTGATCGTAGAGCTCATAAAGTGGCGCGGAATAGTCGGCTTCTTCGGGATTACGTTCAGGTGTGAGGAAATCGAAGGCAGCCAAATTGATCAAATCCAAACTATCGGCTATAGCCGGCGCATCGAAGTACCCTAAGAAAGTGGGAATGTGGTTAGAGCGTGAATAAAAAAGATCAAGCAAGCAGATTGGAAGAAGTAAGCCAGTAAAATTGTCGAGTTTTTCGTTTCTCGAGTTCCTTGTTTTTTTTTTTTTGCTATAATTTCAACTTTGCTTARTACTTACAACTCGAGTTGACATTCGGTAGCACTGTCAGCGATAACAGTAAATTGTCGGAGCGTAATGTATTCTTCAGATCCTTAATCAAATCGGTGAGCTCTTCCTTGTGCTCATCCGCCTTCTCATCGACAATGAAGTCACCAGTGAARAACTTCTTGAAACTCTTCCACACAGCGCCGGCATCTGAGTGCACCTTCCTTGGCTTATTGCGGGGCAGTTGGAGAGCCAAATCGATGCCATCAAAGTTGTAGCTGCGCAGRAAATCACGCGCCGAGTCTATGAAAGCGGTTTGCTTCTGGCGACCTGCCTCCAACAGATTGATATACTTCTCATGACCACCAGCATCACGATCGCCGCCGACGCTCAGTAGAAATTTGATATGTGGATACTTCTCTTTYAGCGCAGTGACAGTGGCGAAGTGACGGCGCTGTATATCCAGATTTTCATTGAGACTCATTAGCTGGAAGGTTTCCGGTTTGATGCCTACATAGCCGTAGATAACATGTGTGCAAAACTGTAGCGCGATTTCCAAGTCAGCCGTGCTGAATTGTGCTTGACCTACGAAAGAGGATTTTAATGGAATGTAAAATAGGTATAAATATAACGGTAAACCTGCGCGTGTGACGCCCTTTGAATCGTAAAAGCACACTAAATTGCGTTCCAAGAAGGACGCTGTGGTCCAGTTCACGGAAACYACTATAAATGCTAAGATTAGAAGTGTAACCTTCATCTTGAACGTCTAACCGACTACAAACGCGAAATGAAAATAATATTTTGCCAACTGAGTTCACTGTTTGCGCGAGTAAATTTAGTAAGCTTTCTAAGAAACTTATCAGCGCGCATATTTTAGGTTCAGCAAGATCACTGGAACATTGCGATAATAWGAAAAGCAAAAGCATATGTACAAAATATTGTGTGTAAAAAAAATCATTGTTTATTGAGCGTGAAAATATAYAACAAAAGCAAATTCGAAGATAATTTGTTTATAGAAGAACTTAAAGTATTACAAACGAAACTTGGCAGCACGCAAAATGGGGTACTTATCGCCAGTGCACAGGCCACGGAAGTCATCGTAACTCAAGTCGAACAAGCCAATACCGCCCAAGTTCTTCGAGTGCACATAAGCCGCCTTATTAGCCGCGCTGTCCGGATCCTCATAGCTCACCCACATGCCGTGTTCGCCATTAGCATCTGCCGGACGGTAGGCATACGGGCCGTAMCGTTTCGTCGGATCGCTAACRCGTCGCAACGGTGCATCGGCGCCCTTCAGATATGTATTTGCCGGATTCGGCAACTTACCGCACACCTCCGGCCAAGAGAGYAGACCRGGGTTTTGACTTTGCATGCCAGCCGGTGCCGGGCCATCGGTGTCCTTTACGACAGGCGTGCCAGTCATGCCCGAATCACTGGTTAACTTCCAGGCGCGTCCATAGGCGGCAATACCGACATTAATCTTATTGGCCGGACATTGTTGGGCCAGCCAATAGTCTACTTGGTAATTAACATTGTARTGTGGCAAGCGATTTTGATCGTATAGTTCGTATAATGGCGCGCTGTAATCGGCYTCTTGTGGATTACGCTCGGGTGTGAGGAAATCGAAGGCGGCCAAAGTGACAAAGTCCAAATTGCCGACAAGTGCTGGCACATCGAAGTACCCTATAAGTKGTTTGTTRTGGTAATTACATKGATTATWCAATAATTAACTAAATTCGGAATTTTCACAAACTTACACGATGAATTGACATTCGGCAATACCGTTAGCGTGAGCATCATATTATCGGGACGCAAAGCATTGCGCACATCGCGCACAAATGCGGTAAACTCTTCCTTGTGCTGTTCGGATTTCTCGTCGACGATGAAATCGCCCGTGAAGAGYTTCTTGAATTTCTTCCACACCATACCGATATCCGAGTGCACTTTACGTGGCTTATTCTTCGGAAATTGGAAGGCTAAATCCAAACCATCGAAACCATAGGAGCGCACCAACGAGTAGGCGGAGTTAATAAATGAGGTTTGCTTGACCTTTTCACCCTCCAACAGCTCTAGATATTTGTTCGGATGCTCGGCATCGACATCTTGATCGCCACCAACGCTCAGTAATACTTTCAAGCTTGGATATTTGCGCTTCAGCGCTGTAACTTCGGAATACTGATGCTTGTAGACGTCCAAATCTTCGTGCAGACTCTGCACCTGATAGGTGTTGGGATTGATGCCGGCGTAGCCGTAAATCAAATGCGAACAGAATTGCAAGGCGATCTCAAGGTCGGGTGTGAGCAGTTTGCCAAGTCCTGGCGTTGGGTTTCGGTGTGACGAATTTTAAGAAATAAATTAATATTTATTGTTTACTTTGTAGAAGACGGTGCTATTGCGGTTTATCAAAATATGGTGCGTGCATGCGTGACAAAAATACAAAAATACAACAACACAAAAGTTATACTTGAATGTGGCGATGGTGTAGCATATAAATATGTACTCGCACGAAACGTACCATAAARGGAAGACACAATAGATGAACAGAAACAACAAAAATCAACAAAATATCATTCCAACACTGGAAACTAAACTGATTTGCATGTAAGTACGTATGTGTAAATGTGTGTACCGAATGGAAAAATATAGACAAAATACAAAAAAGAATAATAAAAACACAATCCAAATCTAGATTTGTATGAAAATTTTTAGTTTGAAGTGAATAAATTAATTCTTTTCACRCAATAAAGTGTTTACAAACTCGTGTCGGTGAGTTACCCCACTTTGTCTCGCCTCGCAACTGTCTGTCTGACGCTTGCGTCATTAACACGTTCCAATTAATATAGCGTTATGACTCAYAGCTCGCCTAAAATAATAATCAAAATATAATATATCTACAATGAAGTTGTTTTTATTTTTTTTTGTAAAAGTGTGTTGTCTATTGTTGGCGGTCAATTGGAACTATGTGACAAATTGTTTACCGGATTTGTATTTTGTACCCGAGCACAAATTTTATTATCAAATGAATGAGAATGAGATACTCAAGATACACTAGGCACTGTGATATCATGAAACCTATCATATGTATATACCATGCATATGACGTGTGATCTAAGTTGAGGTACTTTTTTCAATAGCCTTTTTTTTTTTTGATAGAACACGGAAGAGTAGAGTGTTTTATTATTAATCAAATAACTTATTACTCAGTTCTACTGAATAAATCGATAGATACGATTTACATCAGAAAGATGCCCCTTTGAGGAAGAGTATATAGATATACATATATGTTATATATGTCAGGTAGTTATCTCAGCGAAATTCGAACACTATTTCCCAGTTTAGAGATTAAGAAGTATCAGAAACTAAACTTAGGCATAAGTATGACAAAACTAGTTCGTTTCAAGAGTATAATATACTTAGGTACACTAATCTTCCAAGGGATTATCTGTCAAAATGTTTCTACATAGGAACTCGTTTGAAACAAGAATAGTATCTCTCAAATCACTGAAAATTTTTGCAAAATTGTGTTATGCAGTGATGAAACAAAAGTAAATGGAAATGTGTCCGTCGATAAAACGTTTGTATAACAACCGAAAGCCCAATGCCTGAACCCAAGATACACCAAACAAACAGTAAAACATGATGAAGGTAATRTCATAATGCGGGGGATTGATGGTAGAATTGATCAATATTAACATTTTAACATCCTCACAAGCTCATAATGAAGCCATTCCACTTCATCAAAGCCTGTAAATTGGATATTCAT